TGTCTGTGCGTATGTATGTATGTATGTATGTATGTATGTATGTATGTATGTATGTACGTAGGTATGTATGTATGTATGTATGTATGTATGTATGTATGTATGTGCACATCGCGTATGTGCTCGTGGCCTTGGGTGTCGTACATCTTTTCTCGCACAGCAACAAGTTCTCACGGATTTCGGATTTAGGTCTGCAGGCTTTAGCGGTCAATTCCATGACTTGACGAACGGAAACGAATGATCACAACAGGCGGTCTGTACTTCTGTACTCGGGACCTGTCCCTGTGTTTTGACAGTTGGGCTCGGGATTTATCTTTCAAGCAGCTTGATGTGGGATGTTGGGGAGTTGGGTTTGGCACCGAAAGCATGGGACACCCTTCCTTGTTATCGCCCAGCACAGAGCTCTCGCGGTGGTCGCAACCCCCAACACGCTTAGGGCCGCGGACGAAGGGCGCTTCAGGCCTTAGGTTCAACTAAGCCTACTGCCTTCAGTGATTCAGCGTTTAGGGACAGCTGACGTACCCGAAGAGCTTAAACTTGAGGGTTTACGGGGCTTCAAGCGTGACGGACTCAGCCCTAAGACCATGACAACTCCCGATATGCCCCATGTTGAGGCTGCAGGCAATCGTTGCCAGGACTTTGGTGGGTGCCGGTCTGCTTACGTCCCCAAAACCTCCCTACATCCTAGTCCCTCAACACTCGAACCCATCTCGAAAAGTTTAAGGCAGGCTGAAGCCCGAAAAGGTCTCAAAAGGCTCGCAGGCCTTCTCTTCCATGGTCTTGGAGTTCCACTCCTCCTTCCACTCACACATGACACCTTGGGATTTTGAGTGCTCATGCGTTCGGATTTGGCCTTCTGGGATTTGATGTTTTAGCGCTTTGGGGCTCAGAGTTGTGCGTCCAGGATTGTCCTCTTCGTGCCCTGTTGCTACAAAACCTACTTTCTCTCTGCATTCACATTGCCATGGACCATGTTATCAGTCACTGCTACCTGCCCAAACCCTGACTGCCCGAACTCACAGCATCAGATGCACTAATACAACCGCCACCAGCAGCAACAGCACCACCACCACCGAAAGCACCACCGCAAGCACCACCACCGCGACGAAGACGACGAGTACGACTACTGCTGTTGCCGCTGCTACGCTCCTCCTACGGCCACTACGGCTGCTACTACTACTACTACTACTACTACTACTACTGCTACTGCTACTGCTACTACTACTACTACTACTACTACTACTACTACTACTACTACCACTACCACTACAACGACCACTACCACTACCACTACCACTACCAGTACGACGACGATGACGACGACGACTACTACTACTACTACTACTACTACTACTACTACTACTACTGCAACGATGTTGCTACTGGTATGACCACCGCAACCACCACCACTCAATCAAAACTGCGACTACTACAACGACAAGAACTGCTACGCGCACCACCACTACTAGTACAAACACGACAATGTCTACAGAAACCTTAAAAGGAGTTTAGGAGCTTTTCAGGGTGTCGGGGCAGCCCGCCTGTTCCGTAGCCCTCTGTGAGCCCATAGACATGGCCTCGGTGCAGGCTCGAGGCTACTGTTGGGGTGGGGTTGCTGCAAGGATTGAACAAGGCTTTGGGAGTTTGAGCGAAAGGGGTGCAGGGAGAAGACCTGGATCCCACAGAGTCAGTTGGGCCGAACGCTGCGTCGGGCTCGGCGAAACATGGTTCTTCAAGGCACATCAGGGATATCAAAACTGGAGCAAGGGCCTGGGGCTTTGCTGTGTCCTCTTTGTGGCCCACGTATAGATGCTGCAAAGACCGGATTAAGTTTCGCAATCCGTCCACGTAAAGCCTCAGGCAGCCACACGCTGGCACCCCTGAACCCCCAAGGCCCAGCAGCATCTCAATCCACATGGGATTTGATCCTTCTACGCTCCAAACCCTTTTACACCCTGCCTGGCAATGAACAACAACGCTGCACCCAAGAGGCAAGGGTAAGCCGCTACAATCCTTTTGTTACACACCCGAAACCACCACATGGAACCCTGCCCTAACCGCCCCAACGCCTAAACTGCCCTCAACTCTCGAAGACCAAGGAAAAATCGGATGTCCAGCCGCTAACTTCGATTCCGTAGTCTGCCATGCGGGCCAGGACCGGCGCTGGTGGGGCCGCAGCACCTGGGCTTGTGCATTAGGCCAGAGTGCAAGCTCGACCCCCAGCTTCGCAAAAAGAGCATACTTTCCCGACGCTTCCCTGCCGATCACCTGAAGAGAGCAAGAGAGCGAAGCCATGCAAACACCTGGAGGTCGTCTTTTCGGGCTAGAACAACACAGAAACTACCATAGATCGGATCCAAAATTCCTGGACTTGCATCCTAACATGCCAGGGTCCTGTACATCAGCACCGCCGTGCGCCGGACCCCTGCGCGCCCTGAACCCGAACCAGGCAAGACCTTCCAGGGCCGAGCCACTCGTCATAAACTTCAGCTCGTGACTCCACGTGCGAGCTCCACTGTACTGTAGCCTCGGCCCAGAAGTTGACTTCTAGGTCTTCTCGCCTTCGGAAGCCGAACTGCATCTTATTACTCTCCGAATTTTGCAGGATGATCTACCCGAAACAACCCTGTTGGGGAGTGGGTAGTGACTTGGTAATTTAACTCACGAGCATAAGGTCTGATAAACTTAGGGTTCTCCAAGCCCTATCCAGGGATATGCGGTGCTGTAGGGGAAGGCTGGTGTCCTGATAGATGCAATTGTCGACAGGAGCAAAAAGGGCTCTGAGAAGAAAAGCCGCGGCGCATCGTGCTCATGACAATGGGAGCACCACAAATGTGCGTGACCTTGTGCTCCTTTATCAGGGATATGTTGGTCCGGATCGCACATCAAAGATTACGTCGTGTCTATACATGTCTGTAGAGTTATGCCTGAATGTATGTACGTACGTATGTGCATGCGCACGCATCAGTGTGTAAGTCCATCTGTGCGTCCGTTTGTGCGTCTGCCTGTCTGTCCGTCTCTCTGTCTCTCTCTGTCTCTCTATCTCTCTCTATCTCCCTCTGTCTCTGTCTCTCTTGGTCTCGCTCTGTCTCTCTCTGTCTCTCTCCCTGTATCTGTCTCTGTCTCCGTCTCGGTATGTATATATGAATGTAGGTATGTCTGCATCTGTATCTATGCACCAGTCTATGCATGTGCATAGTTATTCCTTGTACACAGATGCCCACACTTCGGTAAAACAAAAAACGTTTACAAACCAGCATCTACAACTCCATCTATTTAACGGTCATGAATGCGCCTACCTGTCCACGCATCCATCCATCCATCCATCCATCCATCCATCCCACTATCTGGCTGTCTGTCTCTCCATCGATCGATTGCTCTTTCTATCTGTCCGTCTGGCTATCTATCTATCTATCTATGCATGCTTCCATCGATCTATCTGCCTGCCGATCTATGTATCTATCTATCTACCTACCTATCACTCTGATATCTATCTATCTACCTACCTACCTACCTACCTACCTAATTCACGTGTATGTGTATATATACAGAGAGAGAGAGAGAGAGAGAGAGAGAGAGAGAGAGATGGTGGGGGGTGTGGGGGGGG